ATATCCCGTACATTTTTTTATTCATTTATATAATTATAAGAATGAATAAATGACCTTAAAATTGTGCACCCCGTGCATCACCCATGTTGACATTTTGGCCTATTACAGGTCGCGTACTATATATATCCCGTACATTTTTTTTATTCATTTATATAATTATAAGAATGAATAAATGACCTTAAAATTGTGTACCTCGTGCATCGCACGGGCTCTGTACTAGTTAGTATTGTAATATAATTAGTATTGTAATGGGCCCTGATGGTATTCCTATTGAGGTGTGGAGATGTTTAGGCGCCAAAGCGTTAGTATGGTTAACTAAACTTTTTAACCTCATCTTTCGGTCAAACAAGATGCCTGGTGAATGGAGGAGAAGTACTTTAGTACCGATCTTCAAGAACAAGGGTGATGTTCAAAGCTGTGGTAACTACCGTGGGATTAAGTTGATGAGCCATTCGGTGAAGCTCTGGGAGAGGGTTATCGAGCATCTCCTACGATGAGTGACGAATGTGACCCAAAACCAATTTGGGTTTATGCCTGGAAGGTCGGCCATGGAGGCGATTTTCCTAATACGACAGTTGATGGAGAGATATAGGGACCAAAAGAAGGACTTGCACATGGTCTTTATCGACCTTGAGAAGGCTTATGACATAGTACCGAGGAATGTCATGTGGTGGGCCTTAGAAAAGCACAAAGTCCCATCTAAGTACATTACCCTCATCAAGGATATGTACAAGGATGCGATGACGTGTGTTCGAACATGTGGGGGCGATACCAGCGACTTCCCAATTAAAATAGGACTACACCAGGGGTCAGCATTGAGCCCTTATTTATTTGCCTTGGTGATGGATGAGGCCACAAGGGACATACAAGGTGATCTCCCTTGGTGTATGCTCTTTGCTGATGATGTGGTGCTAGTTGACGAGACTAGGGCCGGGGTAAATAGGAAGTTAGAGCTGTGGAAGGACACGTTAGAGTCGAAAGGCTTCAGACTTAGTAGGACGAAGACCGAGTACATGACGTGCGCTTTCAGCATGGCTACTCATGATGATGGTGATGTTAGCCTTGACGGGCAAGTGGTGGCCAAGAAGGAGACTTTCCGGTATTTAGAATCGATGCTACAAAAGAATGGCGGCATTGATGAAGATGTTAGGAATAGAATTGCAGCCGGTTGGTTGAAATGACGTCAAGCTTCGTGCGTTCTCTGTGATAAGAGGGTGCCACAAAAGCTAAAAGGTAAGTTCTATAGGACGGCGATTCACCCGGCGATGCTATATGGTGCTGAATGTTGGCCTACAAAAAGGCAACATGTCTAACAACTAAGTGTAGCAGAGATGCGGATGTTGCGTTGATTTTGCGGGCACACAAGAAGGGATAGAATCCGAAATGAGGATATTCGTGATAGGGTCGGGGTGGCCCCAATTGAGGAGAAATTGGTTCAACATCGGCTGAGGTGGTTCGGACATGTCCAACAGAGGCCTCCTGATGCACCAGTGCGCAGGGGGGTTCTACAGCGGGCCGATGTTGTTAAGAGAGGTAGAGGTCGGCCTAAACTCACTTGGGAAGAGTTGGTTCAGAGAGACCTTAAAGATTGGAATATCTCCAAGGATT